AGGCCCTCCTCCTTGTAGTTGCCAGCCGGCATTGGCTGGCCGATGGAATACGGAGGAGGCCCAATAGTTCCCAAGGCAGACAACATAAAACCCAAAACAAAATCAAACAAATAAAAAACTTATACATCATAAACAATATGTAGTCCTCAGTTGATGACCAGTGCTTTATGACTGTTCAAAGTTATGACAAACTATTAAAAAACTACTTACCACCCATAATCAAAATTAAAATTGCTATATTCCCTCCCACTCCATAATTGCATTTCAGGCACTTTTTAATGAATTCACATTCACAACATTTTTTGTGCTGGTTTCTAGTCCATTGGATATGTTGGATTCACTTAAGAATCACATGGTTGGCTATGTGATTGGTTATGGTTGGGTATGTGACTATGGTGACTTACTTCATGATTGTTGTAAAACCGAGACTGGTCACGTGGTGCCTTTACTGAAAACTACAATGACTTAGGACTGAAATTTCAGTCTATTGTGGTTGTAAGTTGAGGACTGTGTTTAAAAGAAATTCTCTTTATTGCTCTCAGTCACACAGGAAATATTTAGTATATCATGTTGTACATTGTACATATGACCAGCTTTAAAGAGTTGTTTACAAATGGTATTCTAATTGGGACCTGATAGGCTTCATTGTTTAGAACTCTCCGGAAAGCTTGTGGACATCTCATATTACACAGCATATAAAGACATTCCACAGATACTTGACAATGCTAGTAATTCTAATTATTGTAAAGTTCCTCAGACCAAAAGGAATTAGTCAGCACAGGATTATCAAGTCTTTGCTGAGCTAGAAACCTAATCTACATATTTGGTAACAAATTATACCGTATTGTTGATTTCCTTATATAAATTTCTCATTTCCTGTCCCAAATAAAATTGTAGTTAAGAATTGTACTTAATAAAATTTGTGACATCACAACAGGAAATACAATTAATCCTTGAGGTTTGACAGGCTATTTAATGAATGTTCAAAGTTACAATGCTAACCCCAAAAACTAAATATGAATCTGTTTCAAACTTATAAACTCTGCAGCCCCTTCACTCCTGCAGTCCGAATGGTATGAATGTTGCGTTTTAATTATGTACTGTCTATATGTAAAAGTCTGTTTCCCCCCTTCCTTTTGATTGTGAGCCGCCCTGAGTCCCCCCAGGGAAAAGGGCGGCATACAAATAAACACAAATTCAAATTCAATTCAAATTCAATTCAGTCATTCCCCCTTATGACCGACAGCAGAGACACTGCGATCCACCCACCTATTATCCTCCCATCCTGCCTGGCCAGGTCCTCATAGGCATTGGGCCTGTTTTGCCAACATACATGCACTCCTCCCCATCCCCACTCCTCATATCCATTCACTTACTTACCTTTTGACAAGCTGAAGAAGTCAGGGTAGAGAAGGCCGCTCCCTCACTGGGTCATTTGGCATAATCAAGAAGAAGAAATCATGTCACTTTTGCTTCCATTGCAATCCTTTCCTTTCCAGCCAGCATAAACCACTAAGATTTCTTCTTAGCTTCCTCAGCTAGAGCTGGTATAGCTAGAGCTGGCGGTGCTAAGAAGAAATTGCACTGATTTATGGTGGCTGGAGAGGACAGGCTTGCAATGAATCAAAGTAGGCATGATTTCTTTTTAGTGCCGCTAGCTCTAGCTTTATGCTAGTCTTTTGCTAAGAAGAAGTTGTAGTGGTTTATGCTGGCTGGAAAGGATTGCAATGGAAGCAAAAGTCACAAGAATTCTTCTTGATTGGCCCAACGAGGGAGCAGCCTTGGTGGTCTTTACATTAGTAGTAACTGGAGCAATCAAGCTTAGAAAGTGTAACATATAAAGTTATGACCATTATTGTTCCTCAGTTACGTTAAATGGAATGGAAAGCAACTTCTTTTGTCCATTTCTTTCTATTGTTAATTAGAATAATAAGAGTAACAGTAAACAAGTCTTTTAACTGTGGCTGAATTTAGCCGCTTGGAAATTCTTGTTTCTATATGGCAGATTCAAAGGCTTCTTTCAAATCTGTATACTACTGAATAAAAACTCATGTTGTCTATTACACACAACTAGCTATTTTTTATTTCTTTCAACAAAAAGAACAGCTGAGCAGACAAAGACATAATTAAAGAGATGCTTTGAACTCTCAAAAGAGACTCAGAATTCTAGACGTAATTGTAGCACTTGTATTTTGGCCATATTTTAGCAATTAAATTCCTAATTCAATATGAAAGCAATTCAATAGTCAAGAAGTCTAAAAACTAATGACTACTACAACAACATTGTTTTCTACTTATAATTTCTGTATTTTTAACCAATTAAGTAAATAGTAGCCTTCACAATCTTGGACGTACACAAACTTCCCGAGTAATGTACTTCTGTAATCTTATTCATAGGATCTTGACTTAGAATCAACATCTACTTTAGCACAAGATACACATAAAGTGAGGTCTACTGGCTCTCTCCATAAAAAATCAGCAAAAACTAGCACAAGACAAAGTAATATTTCTAAAATAGATGTTTCATTAAAATTATATTTAGCGTAAAGAGAGAAAAATATTTTGCTTACCTTGCTCTTTTTTTAAGGAAACGATTTAAAGAAAGCTGAAAGGATTCAGCTCCATGTGACTTTAGTTTCAAGTAGCACACACCAAGGAAGAACTGAAGCTATAAGAACCTTGCATATGGATTCCATGCTAACTCAGTATTATTTACCATTAAAACATGGAAATTAAACACTTTGGAATATCAATTTCCATTCAAAACACAACATTAAAAATAGCAAAATTTCAGATCACATGCTTTAAAAATATGCCCATAAATTCTGAATCCTATAGCTCTTAGTCTATTCAAATCTCTTCAGCATTTTGAGTAGGGGGGGGGCATTTATTTACTCCTGCAATGGCAGCACTCTAGACTATTTTGAATTTGGATAATGGGAAAAGGTATGAGAAATGGATGAATTCACAAAAATAATCTTCATTCTATTGTACAAAATCTTATGTCTGATTCATCACAAATTGGATGCAATAAAGCTAATTGACAAGAAACAGATCTTACAAGTAACAGATCTTGCCAGTAACATTAAATTATAAGGCACAGACCAGTTTCCCTAGTTGCAGAATCTGATACCACAAGACTATCCCTATTTACCATAAAGATCTGAAGTTCATATTTGTTAAGCCCTGAACTGAATGCAATCTTTAGAATATTGCTCACTATCTATTGATTTTAATAAACAATGAAATCTTAAATTATAAGGACAAAACATTACAATTTTCTTCATTTAGTTATCACTGGAAACTTTCACATATGTGGAAATATATACAGCTGAAAATCTTCATTTTTAAAAACCTAAATCACAAAGTTATGGAATTATGTTGCTTAAAGCATGCAGTATAAATAGACACACAAACAACAACAGCAGACATGTCTTAAATTAGAAGAGTTTAAGAGCACTTTTAATTCATTTTGTAAAGACTGTTTTACTTATCAAAGCAAAGCAAAATATGTACAAATCTGTATATTGTACTTAAACTGACATTCATTCCCTCATAGAATACAAATATTACATTACAGTTTTTTAATAAGGTGCTCCTTCACAATTTATACTTCTTCCTACTGCAGATTAAGAATTTAAATGTTTATTACCTGCAACAGTTCTTTGATAACTAGATCCCCCTTTGTAGATAAAGATTTAGGAACAAATGTATGGAATATCCATTTTATTAGAGACTATATATTTTTAAAGGTGTAATTAGAGATTGCATAGATAGAATGTGCTCTGTTGAATTCTGGAAGTGACTTTTTCTTTTTAAAAAAGTTACCATTTATCTGTGAAAATATTTAGTTTTATTTTTTATTGTTTTTGAATAGAAGAGCACCAGAATAAGAAGAATTTGTAAGGTTTTTGAGATGGAAGATTAAGGTCCATGACTCTAAAACTTGAGCTGAATTTTAAGCTAGCAGCAGTTAATGGGAAAAGCCTTTCAGTATCCATTCAGAATAAAAACTGATAAATTTAACCCAGTTTTGCCTTGTCAAACAAAGCAGATGTGTTGTAGAAAAATAAAATAAAAAAGGAAAGGACAAGGACAAGGAGGCAAACACAAAAATAACTTGAGATTCCCCAATAACTAGTTGCCCTGGATGCCAAGGGGCTTATTTTAGTAAAATATTTACTGGCCATGACAGAGACTGTAACAAACAAAATAAAAATGCAAGAAAACATTTCTCTTACATATCGTCAATTCCTCCAAATAAACATTAAAAAAGCATTTACACCCAGGTATTTTTAGAAGAATCTTTTCCATGTGAGCAATGTAGCCAGGATGAGGTTCCTGCGTGATGATATAAAGCAGGAGAGGCAAAATTTCTTTTGAATGATGATGAAACAAAAGTAGCAGAGAGTAAGAATAGTGAAACAGTTGAAAACAAACATAATTTACATAATTAAAGCCAGGTAGTTTATCCATAAATATTTTGTCCAATGTAACCTTTTCTATTTTAAATATTCAAATTGGAATTATATATGTTCTTGCCTTTCTAGAACAGTCTTGTATGCAGATTGGCTTCGTTTTGCCTGATGATAAATTAGTGGCTGTTTCTACCAATAGGTACAAAGCCTTCGTTAACTTTTTTGTTGCAGTAAGACTTTGAAATTCTGTAGCTCTCGTATACTTGTAGAAAGTCTGTGAAGAAGAAAAGGGAAGAAGGATCAAGTCCACAGAAGTTCAGTACTAAAAGAAGGAAGCTCTTCATGCATGAAACACCAACTTGAATTTTAGATTAAATCAGCAATTTGATCAAAAACTTAGTATTGCAGTTCATTAAAATAATTATCTCATCCACCTTCAACACTATGTGTTGAAGATGGACGTGTCTGATGTGCTTAAAATTATTTAGAATAATTTATCTGTTCTAAATCATGTAGCATTATTTAATTTGACTAAAATGGACTAGATTCCCTTTTATTGTGAATGGTGGCACTGAGAGGACATTATAGTTTTTGGAGAAAATACAGGTAGTCCTGACTTAACAATTGGCAGCTTAACAAATGCTTGAAGCTACAATGGACTGAAAAACAGTTACAAATTTGTTTTCAAAGTTACGACCTGAGGTACTAACCCCACCCCCATTGTCACATGACTGCATTTCAGATATTTGGCTACCACCATTTCCCGCATATCACAGTCACGTGACACTGATTTTCAACAATTTTCATGGCTTTCAGCAGAAAACAACAAAAGACACCCACTGGATATGCTGGTTTTGCTAAATGACCACTTGACTCACTTAACAACCATGGAGATTAGCTTAACAACCATCATAAAAATAATCATAAAATTGAATCAAATTAATAATTGCAACAGGGATGTGCAGTCAGGGGAGGCGGGGCTTCACCAGTGTCATGAGGAAAAGAAAATTAAATTAAAAGGAAAAAGGCTAAGGTAGTTTGATGCCAGAATGCTCTGCTTAGTGCTAACTGCAGGGGGGTGGCGAGAGAACTACGGGCCTCCTTTGCATAAGGAATTTTTCGCCTTTTAACCCTTGCTCAGAGTTAAGCAAGGGTTAAAAGGCGAAAAATTCCTTATGCAAAGAAGGCATGTGGTTCTCTGCCTCCCGGTCTGGGAGCAGCAGGTCTTGCCTAAGTTGCCTTTTTTTTTTACATTTTCATCATGGCGGACAAGAGGAGAATTGAAATGATCCTCTGACACAGCTGGAAAAGGTGGGTTCAAGAGAGGGGACATGGGGGAGGAATTCAAAATTCCCATCATACATCCCCTATAATATGCAGCTATAAAGTGATATTTATAGCAGTAGACTTAGCAGTAGACTTATATACCGCTTCATAGGCCTTTCAGGCCTCTCTAAGCGGTTTACAGAGAGTCAGCATATTGCCCCCAACAATCTGGGTCCTCATTTTACCCACCTCGGAAGGATGGAAGGCTGAGTCAACCCTGAGCCGGTGAGATTTGAACCGCTGACCTGCTGATCTAGCAGTAGCCTGCAGTGCTGCATTTAACCACTGCGCCACCTTGGCTTGGCATATTTGATGTTTGACTGAGTATATAAATGTAGTAATATGAGACATCATTTTGAAATAGTCAGTTTCCTATAGAAAATTATAGTTATTCTTGAACACTTCCCAAAATTCACTGCAACATGTACAGGGCGGGGCATAACCTTTTCCTAGGGGGTCACAGCAACACTTGTAATAACAACACAAATAATTCATACACCATTCGAAAGCCCATCAAAAACTGAGTTTATTGACACGATTTAATAGTCAGTATGACCACCATTAGCCCTTCGAACAGCATTCAAACGAGGTGCCTCTCGAAAGGCAATGCATTTTATTCTGTCAATGATCCTTTGTTCTTCCGAATCGAATTTTCCAGCCATTCTTAAAGCAAATTTAACATTTAATAGCTCATTCAATTCAGTTTTTTATGGGCTTTAAAATGAGGTGTCGCGGAAGTTGTAAACTGCTGTCGATCTTGCTGTGACCCCCTAGGAAAAGGTTATGCCCCGCCCTGTATGTATTATTTGGTTTGCCAGTTGAAACAGAAATAGTTCCCTGAAGAATATTTAAAGTGGCAAAAAGAAGCTAACTTCTTCAAATGAGGAGCCCAGACGAGGCTGGAGCGAGAGCTGCGGACGCGAAAGGCGAAGACGGGTGGGGTGGGGCTGTTCCAAGAGGCCCCCTCCCCTTTTTGCACTCCGCAAGCCAGGCCCACAGTGGCACGAGGCTCAGCTCCGCTTCTATCGCCCCCCCCTCTACTCCAGAGAAGCCAGCCGCGGGCGAGTCTCCGCAGCCCCGGTTCCTTCTCCAAGCAGCAGAAGTGCAAAAAGGGGAGGGGCCAGCCCCGCTTCCCTCCCCGTACTTTCCAGGAGCGGAGGACCCGCATTCCACTCCCCCTTCCAAGCCCCGAGTCGCCAGCCGTTCGCCTCCGCGACTCTCGCTGCAGCCTTGTCCAGGCTCCTCCTCAGCGGGCCTACCGGAGCTCTGGGAGAAAGTGGCGGGAGTAGAGGCTGGCCACTCGGGGCTTGGAAGGGGGAGCGGAATGCGGGTCCTCCGCTCCCGGAAAGTCCGGGGAGGGAAGCGGGGCTGGCCCGTTTCCTCCCAGGGCTGCTTGGAGATGAAACCGGGGCTGCGGAGACTCGTCCGCGGCCGGTTTCTCTGGAGTGGGGGGGCGCGATAGAAGCGGAGCTGAGCCTCTTGCCACTGCGGGCCTGGCTTGCGAAGTGCAAAATGGGGAGGGGGCCTTTTGGAACACCCCCCCACCCCTCTTCGCCTTTCGCCTCCGCGGCTCTTGCTCTAGCCTGGGCAGGAACCAGTGCTCTTCTGCTGCGGGCGGGATGTACTCCTGGTGGCCTGCGGTTCTGGCACCTGCAAGGTGGAAGTGTTTGCCCTGCGGGGCAGGCAAATGCCAAAAGGAAGTGCCCCACCACTTCTGTCTGACATAGAGACGCCCTGCGCCCTGCAGCTGGGTCGGACATAGCTGCGGGGCGCGGGATGCCTCTATTTCGGACATAGCTGCTGCGGGGGGGAGGGGGGGAGCCGCTTTCTTTCTTTTTGCCTCACCAGCCATAAGCTTCATCGCACATCACTGAATTGCAATGATTTGTGACCAGAATTCTGTGCTTAATTGCTGTCATAAATTGAGGGATACTTGTACATACATATTTTTAAAGTCCATATTACACGAAGAAAAAGCTCAGCCTATCACTACATAGCTATAACAAATTTCAAGTGTAACTTACCTTCCAAATGCATTCAGAAGAGCAACTATTTCTTGTCGTGTCAATTGAAAACCTTTGGACGGACTGTTCTCAGAAAGATTCTTTATTTCTTTTTCGGAGAATAAGATTTTCAAAGCAGTTCCTAAACCTTGAGTCTGAAAGAAAACCAATATATTAAATAGCAAGAGTGCAATATACATTCATTAACAACTTTGGGCATTTCTACACTTATTTTTGGGGTAGGCCTATATTACGAGCATGCTAAAAAATCAGGCTAGGGCTTATTTTCTGTTTAAGTCTATTTTTTGATTGGGGGAAACACGGTATAAGTCTAAGTGCTATTGTTATGCAGTATTTTAATATAAATATTGAACAATATTTGCATAATAGGGTATGTATTCTTACTATACAGCACTTGTATTCTATAATTGGTGAAATAACATGTATAATTTGAACAGCTTGAATGTCATAATGCAGCAAATGTGAAATATCTGGCTTTGTAGTAAAGCTAAAATTTACCATATTGATATTAACCAGACTTAGAATGCAGAGTATAGGAAATAGTTCAGCTGGTGTGAAAACTGTTTTGCTATGTAAGAATGTTAACCTTAAAAATATGAAAAAAAAATCAGATACCTGTAATTTTCCCCATAAACGACATTTATCACATCCAACACAATCCATTATGCGAGATATGTTCTTGAAATGCAATCTGAATTCTTCCTACCAATACAGAAAAACATGTTTAAAACTTTTTATAATGGCATTAGTGATTCTAAAGATGTGTGCCAACATTCTCTTCTCTTAATGCTTTTCTTTACTTTCTAATTTTGTGTATCATTTTCATTTTAGAGGTAGCCAAGCCATCAAACTAATTAGTTCAAGCTATAGTTTGCAACCACTTTTAATCTGATGGCAAGCTGTCTGAATGTATTCATAGTTATTCTATAAATTCTATGTCAGTTTCACTAAGTACTATTGGCTTTGAAAAGGATGAAATCAACATTGCTGTGATGAAGTTCTGCATCTTTTGTACATGTGTGCAACAACATATCTAAAAAAGAGGTGGAGTTTGAATTGGCATGATATAACACTTGTTCCATCATTTGATCTCCACCCCTGGATGCTTCTGCTCCTGGTGTTTCTTTCATATTCTCATAAAAAGAAAAAAAAATCATTTTTTATGTCGAAAAGAAGCTTATGAATTGGCATTTACCATAAAGCTATAAAGTATAGCTGTAAACCAACAGTAGAAATATGAAGATGATTCAAAATTATGCAAGTAGATAGCATGACAGAGATTCTAATTAATATATCTTACATTAATCCAATATCTTACATTCTAATGACTTGCTTGCTACTTTTCTGAAATATTACTCATAAGAATTTAAAAGTAGCTTGATGTTTACTGATGATGTTGCCTCAAATATAAAGCAAAATAATCAAATGCACACATAAAAGCAAAGAAACATGATTTAATCTAATTTAAAGAATCTTTTATTTATACATTTAAATTGTCAATGTAAAACCAATGTTTACCTTTAAAGATCTGGCTTCCTTTTTGTTTCCAGAAAACATGGACTTTTCATCAAAATGCATAGGAAAGGACCTAGATAAATTTTGATCATGAATTAGACTTATTTAGCAAAACTGTTTGGATACTACTAATAATGCTCCACTTTCTACAATTACTTGAAATAAAATGTTTAAAATATAGCTCAAGAGCCAAAATATATATTGTAGGCATACCTAGTTACATGGTTTGTCCAATTCTATAAGCAATGCAGAAATGTTACTTTTATGCTTTTTTCTCAAAAGATTCTTAACAAATATTCCAAAGGAAATAATAACATGAAACACTTCATTACACAACATTGTTTTAGCCACAATTCTCAATTTTGTCTTTCTCGTCAACTCTTTTATAAAACTCTTTTTTTAAATCTGGATGTAATGTCTTGTGGGCTTTGTAATATGTCACTATACCCCCCCTCCCGCTAAATAGAAATAAACAAACAATTATAAACTAATGTTCTGACAATAGAGAATATTATTATTCAAAAGACATAGAGAGAACTTCATCCAAAACTACATATTGTATGCACATTATGATATCTGACAGATCTTTTCTACTTTTGTCTCCAGAATGAATTTGTCAGCCTAACAAAGTAGATTTAACTAAGAAACCAATCCTATTCAGCAGGAGTGTCAAACTCAAGGCCTAGCGGCCGGATCCGGCCTGCGGGGTGCTTAGGTCTGGCCCATAGGCCCACTCTGGAAACAATGAAGGACTGGCCCGCAGTGCCCTTGTCAGCAAAAACAGAGCTTAGGAGGGCCACAAGCTCCGTTTTTGCTGGCAGAGGGTTGCAGGAGGCCGTTGCAGCCGAGAATAGAGCTCAGGAGCAGTTTTCTCTGGCAGAGCTCTTGGGCCACCACAGGTGCCCCCAACACAAATGACATTGAGCTGGCCTTGCCTACCCTGGCCATGCCCACTTCGGCCTGAGGTCAAACACAACCCTGATGCCAAGGTGGCGCAGTGGTTAAATGCAGCACTGCAGGCTACTGCTAGGCTACTGCTAGATCAGCAGTTCAGCGGTTCAAATCCCACCGGCTCAGGGTTGACTCAGCCTTCCATCCTTCCGAGGTGGGTAAAATGAGGACCCAGAGGAGGAACATGGGCCAGTCTTAGAGTATAAGGAAGGCTC